AGAGAATGAGTGGATGGATGGGTGGGTGGATGGGTGGATGGATGGGTGGATGGATGAATCGGTGGATGGGCGGGGGGATGGCTGAACGGGTGGGAGGATGGGTGGATGGACAGGTGGATAGATAGGTGGATGGGTGGATGGATGAATGGATGGATGAGTGGATAGGTGGATGGATGGATAGGTGGATGGGTGGATGGATGAATGGGTGGGGGGATGGACAGGTGGATAGATATGTGGATGGGTGGTTGGATGAATGGATGGATGAGTGGATAAGTGGATGGATTGATAGGTGGATGGATGGATGGATGGAAGGGTAGATGGATGGGTGGATGAATGAATGGATGGGTGGATGGGTGGGTGGATGGATGCCCTTAAGGGAAAATTGACTTTTTATCTCCTTATAGCCCTTGCCATGGAATCAGGCAAGAGAGAAGGGATTGGAATGGCCACTGAGTGATCAGTCACATCATCTGCTCCCCATCCCCCACACTGGCATACAGTATCCTGGAATTCCTCATGGGCCTTCATCCTCCACAGGCAGGATCTCCTGTAAGAATTCTTTTTTCACAAGACAAAACCAGAGAGGGAGACAAACCATAAGAGACTCAATCTCAGGAAATAAACTGAGGGTTGCTGGAGGGGAAGGGGGTGGCCGGGATGGGGTGGCTGGGTGATGGACATTGGAGAGGGTATGTGCTATGGTGAGTGCTGTGAATTGTGTAAAACTGATGAATCACAGACCTGTACGCCCGAAACAAATAATACATTATATGTTAAATAAATAAATAATTCTTTTTTCATATCTCTGAGCAGATCTGGCTACCCCCACCCCAATCTTTCTTAGGAGATTCTTACCCACCACAGGGCATATGCTTCACTAGGGAGATGTATTTTCCACTTTTTGTAACTTCTCCTGGGACAAAAATGATGACAGGAATGAGATCCAACTGTGACTCCAGTGGGGGTAACGGGCTGGTCCCCTCTGCTTTCAGTAACAAGCTGGCATCACTTTTGAACAAAGACTTCTTATAAGAACATCGCCACCATTCATATCCCATGTGCTGCCATAATGTGAGATTTCTTTTTAGCAATCCTGCATACAGTCAATAGGCCAAATTTATGTCTATTTTTTCCCCAAGAGATGGGGATACAATCATTAAATGTATACAGAGTATTAGACCTGTAAAGGAGGATTTGAGGGCCACCAGGAGCCACCCCCCCCAATTCTACCAGCCTGACCCTCCATAATACTCAATCTCCCTACAGTTGGTTCCACCTGCCACAGTCCCTACTACTTCAAATAGGTTCCTCAGTGGTCCCCTGATGGATCACCAGAGAGAGCTTTGTTATATTTGCAAAAAGAACACCGCATTTTTGGAGAATAAAAAAAAAAAAAAAAAGGAAAGTAAAAACAGTCACCCATAATCCTCCCAAACAAACCAAACTCTTTTCAGCTTGCTAGTTCCATTCTTGGACTTATTCACATATGTGGACTCACTTTACAGAGTGACAGCCAGAGATTTCTTTTCTATTCTGTGTCTGCGCTCAACAGTACATCATAAGTGTTCTTCCCACTGCCACAGCTTGTTTGATATATTAATAGCTGCATAATCATCCTCAAATTTGTTGGGCCATAATTTACATAACAAATACATGAGTTTACCTCCAAATTTTGCCTCTGTAGCTAAGGCTGCAATAAACACCCTTCGGTACATAGTTTGTTTTCTTGTTCTTGTGTGGAGTGTTGTTAAAAGCAGCATGAAGGCTGGTGTCAGCCCCGGGCTGGCGGCTCGAGGTGCCTTGCTCTACCTGAATCCCCAGGCTGCTGGCCAGAGAGAAGATGCTGAGCCTCCACCGTCAGTCTCCACACCGGCCACAAATGAACTGGAAGCAGCATGTCCTCCCACTCGATGACATCTCTGCAGAGAGTGGTTTGGAATCCCACCTCTGCTTGTGAAAGAAACCAGCGGGGTTCACCTGGCAGGAAGGGGGACCAGGCAGCCTATGTGGATCCCTGGAGCAGACAGAGCTGTCCCTGCCTCCCATGCTCACTGGGCTACGTCAGTTCTTTGGTGCTATTCTCCTCCATCAGATGCTCCCAGACAGGCTGACAGTCAGGGTCAGTGTGTTTCTAGGATCAAGGCGTGGGCACCTGACTCAAACTAGACAGGTCAGATGCTTTCTTTCCGGAGGAAAGCAGCAACACTGATTCAGCCCAACAGCTGGGCCCTGATGAAGTCACTCCTCTGTTCCAGGTGCCCAGATCCCCAGAACCTGCTGGGTGCCGTCCTTTTCTGAACCCAGCCTTGTCACCTTGCCCTCACCTGCAGCCTTCCAAAAGAGTCTCTTTCTGTACACATCTCTCCACCTGTGAACAGAGAGCCCTCCCAGATACAGCCAGCCCCCCTGGCAGAGGGGTCCTAGGGACCTCGGGGACCACCACTCCAGGTCAGCCTGAGGGTCAGCAGTCAGACCTGCGGGCCAGCCTGCCCCAGCCAGCTCAGCCCGGCCAGCGTCTCCTCTCTCAGCTCTCTGGCTCAGTAATTCATCACTCTAACCAAACAAAACCTGACAAAGGACAAAGTGATGCCTTCGATCCTGCTAAGAGGCAGCCATCCCAGCAGCCTGTGCCCACTCAGCATCGACCCCAAGCCCCACCGGAATTCCTGGACAGAGCCTTGGGCTTCCCAGGCTGGCTAAGTACCAGGAAATTGAGATGTCGCCAGAATCCTGAGCCTGGCGCCAAGTAGCAGGAGCAAGATGAGTGAGGGGCCTGGAGCCCGTGGGGACTGGGCTCCTACCCCAGCACCACCGCTCACTCCTCATTAGCTGGAGCAAGTTCACTGGGCAAAGCATTCACTCCTGAACTTCCGTTTCCTCATCTGCAAAATGGGTGCAAGAATCCCTATGCCTGGGGCTCGGTCCTTGGGGAGAGTTGCATTCCAGCATCTGGACCATGACAGTTCCAAATCCAAGCCAGTTTGTCTCTCCTCGTGCCTCTGTCGACAGGGGTTTTCACCATGACACCTCACTGGACCCCAAGCCCACTCTCACCTTGGTGGGTCCCAGGCTGGGAGGACTGCCAGCGCCGCGGGCCTGCACTCCCCATGTCCCCCCACCACGACTTCCCTAATGCCATAACATCAGGAAAAGGGGGGGAGGGCATCTGCTTCCTTCCTCTAGCGGGCCCAGAGTGGGGAGGAACCTGGGCTGCTTTCATTTTTGAGCTTCCCAGTAGATTAAAAATGAGGAAAGTTGCAGTAATTTTAGTGTAATTTACGTGTCTACACACAAAAAAGTATGAGACAATGTAGTTGCGGGATTGACAAGCTAATGGCAGAACTCAGTACATTTTCTGGTGAACTACCAGGGGTGCTGTCTGCAAGGGATACAAACTCAAAGTCGCCTGACAGCCACCTACTTGTGATCTGCAGGAGCTGGGGCTGCACCCTCAACGACTGAGTTTCTAGAAAAGAAACATCATCAAATCCAAGGCAGAACCCTCACTGGATCCCATTTAAAAAAAAAAAAATCTGTGGTGGGGGGACATTTTTAGATGTTTGGGAACATATGAATAGGGTAGGATATGGGATCGTTTTACAGAATTACAATGTATTGTCTTGTTTGTGGTCATACAGAAGAACAGCCCAAAGGGCCATAAAATGGTTCAGAAAAAAAATTCTAAAAATAAAAGCAATAGGCAGGTAAAGGATTTATGACCAAATGTGGACCACAACTGAACCCAGGTGGGTTCATTGTGCCATTCTTTCTACTCGAAGCTTTTCATTAAGCAAGATGAAAAGGGGGTGCACCTGGGTGGCTCATTCGGTTAAGTATCTGCTTTTGGCTCATGTCGTGATCCCAGGGTCCTGGGATTGAGCCCAGCATCGGGCTCTCTGTTCAGCAGGGAGCCTGCTTCTCCCTCTGCCTGCAGCTCCCCCTGCTTGCATACTCTCTCTCTGTCAAATAAATAAAATCTGAAAGAAAGAAAGAAAGAAAGAAAGAAAGAAAGAAAG